TACTGGAACAATATTAGACAACCATTTTGAGTACCTGGCTGTCCGTATAAAACCAACTTTATGCAGCCGCTCCACTTCTTCCTTCACCTTCAAAATCACTTCTGGAGACATACGGCGTGGCGGCTATTTGTACGGCTTATATCCTTTGTTGATTGGTAGTCTATGCTCTATCAACTCTCGGTCTAAACCTGGCATCTCAGAATAATCCCAGGCAAAGCAATCTTTGAATTCATGTAGTAAACAGATTATTTGATCTCGCATCTCTGGCGGCAGCAAGCCACTGACAAAAGTAATGCGTGGCGCTGCCTCCGTTCCCAGATTAACTTCCTTCAATGGATCTTGTACATCGGCCCTGAGGTCATCCAGCTTTGCAGGAGCCAAATCTAACTCCTCCATTGTGATTCCGTCGGTATGGGTATCCTCTTCACCTTCATGTACCACCTTCGACAAATTTGCTTCTGTATTTCTTTCAGCAAAATAGGCCGCTAATTTCTTTAGAATTTCAGATACGGCATCCCTTCTTTCTTTGTTTATTCTGGATTTCTTCATAATAACTCCTCAATTTTGGGCTCCTCTTGCAGCCTATATGGAATAATGGCAGTAGGCCGCAAGAGTTCATTGCATACCTCGTCAACCACATACTTAGCCAAGGTAGGCTTGTTGCAAGCAGTGATTCCACGAGGTCTTCCTTGTCTATCCATGCCGAAGAAACGGATGGTTCCTACGTCTTCATCATAGTACCGTGCTTTCACCATATTGGAATTGGCTAAGAATGGTCTGTTGTCAGCATAGACCACCTCAGTTTTGCCTCCATTCCAAAAAATGAGTCTTTGATGGAGAGAAGATGGAACACACCAACTCGAATGGATCCAATCACGTCCCAGTAATGCATTATAAGTTGCAGAAGAGTCTACAACAAAGAAAGCACTCATTGACGTCTTGCTGCCTGCCGACAGTAAGTGCAACCGGCAGCACTCCTTTTGATTTGCTAACACCACCTGTGAAATCACTGATGGTTATGTCAGTATAAACCAAGTCCTCAGAATTTTTACCCAAATTCCTCAGCATAGAAGAAGGTATGATGTTGACTGCTGCTCCATTGTTGACAAGGACTCGATTCACTGAAGCTCCATCCATGTGAGCTGAAATGTAAAGTGGCTTTATATGACGAGCCACATTTTCATCTGGTTTGTTAAAGATAATTTGTTCTGAAAGGATATTATGCTCCTTTTCCTCTTCTTGGGCTGGAACCTCTATCACTTCTTCCTCAACAAGCATGCTGCCATTGGAAACATGGGTAGTCTCGCTGCCCTTGGCTTGAAAAACCAAAGGAAGCGTGAGAACCAAACAAGAGAGATTAATAAAGATGCTGCCAATCTGCAGAACATTCATGTCCTCAAGAAAAAATTATCATCGCTAGTCAACTCTGCTTGCTGATCTGCTTCAAAGGTTGCCTTCAACTCATTTTCATTAACAATCAATGAGGTGAGCTTAGGAGGTGGCACCTTCGGCTAAGATTCATTCTGGATAGCAACCTCTTGACTTTCTTTTCTCTTCCACACCATCTTTCCCTTTGCGAGAGAACGTTGTGGAACCTTAACTTCCTCAGTAGCTAATTGTTGACGACGACGTGCCTCTGCTCGCTTTCACTGCAACCTTCTTCTCAAAGTTCTAGGATTTCTCACAGGTTCTTTTGGAAACTTGGGATGCACGACCTTCTCCCACCTTTTACTTGGAGGTTGCTGTGGAGGCTTAACCATACGAGAGTGATCTGTATGTCGAGCCTCCTTCATCCTGGATCTCGATGCATAGATTCTGGCAGCATGGTGTTGCCCCTCGAGCCTCTGATTCTGTTGGGCACGACGTTCCCTTTCCTTCTCAATCACCCAACGAAGGTCATCTGCAGCCAAAGTTCGCCCTTTATACGTCCTTCGAGAGATGCTCCTTGTGTCAGCAACATTAACTCCAACATCAACGTTTGGAAAAGGATTCTCATCAACCCCCATGGCTTCTTTGGGTTTTTCAAGGAAACAAAGCAACCCTTTGTCAATCTTGTCTTGCAACACATTCCGAAAAATAACACAGTCATTAGTAGAGTGTTTCCAGGAGTTATGAAACTTACAGTAATCTTTGGATGCAATTTCAGCAACCGTCGGGAGCCTATGCCCCTGCGGCAGCTTAATATGTCCTGACTTTTTCAGATAATCAAAGATTTCATTTGCTTTAGTCACATCAAATGTGTATTGTCTCCCAGATTCATACGGGAGACGCTTTGCAGCCGCCTCAACCTGTTGAGTGACTTTCACTAGATTATGACAAGTTACTGGCTTGTCTGCAAAGACCTCGGCAACATCAAGGTCAAAAGCATCC